CAGCTCACTTGAGACTGTTAAAAAGTCTCCAGAATTGTCAAAGCCATATCACCACTGTTTCTAGAGTTGACGTTCATAGTGCAATAAAAATCTCATAAACGAAACTAGCACAAGAGTTAAAATGAGTTTGTTAAAATCTGGTAGATCCTGGTGTAAATATGCCTATAAATTCTTAGAAACATGGCTCACATGAAAGAGCTAAAATTGTACTTTAAAAATAACAGAGTGTGATTTAAGGATACTCAGACTGGAGTCTTCAATCAGTTGTCTGAGGGAAAGGTGTGAAGTCAGGGTTTAGATAGACAGATTATAAAGAAAGTCAAAGTAAGCAGAAGAAAAAGGTACCAAGGCCAGGCATGGTGGCTCATGCCTGTAATCCAAGCACTTTGGAGGCCAAGGCGGGCGGATCACTTGAGATTGGGATTTCAAGACCAGCCCGACCAACATGGTGAAACCCCATCTTTTTACTAAAAAAAAAAAAATTAAAAAAAAGAAAAAAGTACCAAAATGATAGCTTCAGAATAAACAGTAGGGGAATAAAGAAAACAAATTTGTGTGTGTGTGTGTGTGTGTGTGTGTGTGTGTGGTGTGCACACATGTGCATACACGTACTATATGATAAATCCATGGAAAAAGGACTCAATGATTTGTTAAGGGAATTCACGGTCATACCACTTTCTGTGCCCAAAGCTAACTTGATTAGTATCAGAAGGAAAGGTAATGTTTAAACAGCCCTTCCCACATCTGCTACTTCCATAATGCCTATGCAATTGTCATAAATTAGGAGTAGAGAAGGGCACAGGGCCCATCGTCAAAACAAACAGGCAATGCTGGGTTCCAAGTTTCATATAATTTTCCTTGAGCTTGAGAGTTGTGAAGACTGCTTGTCCTAATGTGGCCCACTGTAGCCCTGTCTTGGGATAACCAACCCACCTCGATCCTGGCCACAGCCCTCGGTGGCAAGGCACCTTGGCAGGGCTGGGCAAATGACAGAGGGCATGAGAAAACCTTGTCTCTCTAATGATCCAGGCCTTGGGAAAAAAATGAGCTCTCAATATTAAGTTAATACAGCTAGTGACACTAAAAGAAAACAAACACTGTGAACTCCAAGGGGTTTACATGGAGTGATGTCTTCTGTATTATTCAAAGTTGCCTATTCTGCATATAAATCTTCCCTCATTGACTCTGCTCCACACTCCTTAAGGCCAACAACTATGCTTTGCACTTTCTGCACCTCACACAGTTAAGATCATGCCCATGGTTTTACCTCTCTTGTTTCTTTGCTTCATAAGACAAGATCAATGAAAGGACCCAGACAGGCTTGCCTGGACAATTTTTGTTCTCTGTCCTTCCTATTTCTCACTTCCATATGGTTCAGCCCTTCAGGTCAGACAGTTGCATGGTGGGGTTTGCTTGTATCACCTGGTAGTTAGGCCTTGAGCCTACACTCAGTGCTACACCTTGCCGGAAAGCTCAATACTGGAGTTCAAAGCACCAGCCCAGCCGATAATAAACTGGCACCTTGCTCCACAGACCTATTGTCCTGTGTTGGTACCTCTTTCAGGGATGTCGTGAGAAGGTCAAGGCAGGATTTAGAAATGTCCAGTGTCCCTGTTCTTACCAGCACTAGAATCTCACCATAAACTGCAAATAGACTTGCCTTTTAACAATGTCTTGGATACTTAGAGGGAATCCTGGGTAGAGAAAAGAGATATGGCTGCCTCTCACATTCCCAGCACTCTTCCTGGTGGGATCCTCTCGACTCTGTGCCCCTTTTGGTCTTAACTTCCAGCCTGCAGCATGGCCAGCGGCTGAGTTCCCTTACAATCCTTGAAAGGCTCATCAACTTCGATAATGTCTGTTACTGGTGGTGGCTCTTTCTATTAGATTTACTCTGCTCAGGAAAGCTGTTACTTAAAAGACTCACTTCAAATTCAGTGCCAGATGTCCTCAGCTAGGCCATGTCTATGAAGTAAAACAGTGGAGTTCCTCTGAAGTTCCCTTTCAGCACATACTTCCTAAGTCAGTCTACTGTAGTTCACTTTGTATAGCACTTGGGATGAATCATGTAGAATTAGCACTTCCATTTAGCATTTAACAAATAATTATTGATCCCTTACTCCGTGCCAGATATCACTCTGGGTGCTGAGAACACAGCCGTCCACAAAACAGTGTCCCTGAACTCAGAGACACTGGCAGGAGACCAATAATGAGTATATAAACAAGTATAGACCATTTAAGATAGTACCAACTGTTAGAAAATAAATCCATCTGTAAGGCTAGAGCAACTCAGAGAGCAGTCAAGGGCTATACAGATAAGGCTGTTCTGACAGGTCTGTGAGGAGGAGACATTTGAGCTGACACTGAAAGATGAAAACCAATCATATAAGTGATGATCTTGGGGAAGACTCTTCCAGGCAGGAGAAAAGAATGCGCAAAAGCTTTGAAGCAGAAATGAGACAGATATATGCAAGGAACAGACAAAAGACATGGTCCGTGGAGCTAGAAAGCAAAGGAGAAGGGGTAAAAGATGGTAATAGGAGAAATAGGCTGACACCCAATTACAGAGCATCCTTCAAGGAATTTTAATCTAGGGAGTGAGCTGTGGTTTGTTTGTTTTTTGAGATGGAGTCTTGCCGTCACCCAGGCTGGAGTGCAGTGGCGTGATCTCGGCTCACTGTAAACTCTGCCTCCCAGGTTCAAGCGATTCTCGTGCCTCAGCCTTCCAAGTAACTGGGATTACAGGTGCCCGCCACCACACCTGGCTAACTTTTGTATTTTTAGTAGAGATGGGGTTTCGGCATGTTGACCAGGCTGGTCTTGAACTTCTGGCCTCAAGTGAACCACTTGCCTCAGCCTCCCAAAGTGCTGGGACTACAGACGTGAGCCACTCTTCCCAGCTGAGCTGTGTTTTTAACAGTTCACACTGGCTGGAGCAGAGAGCAGAATAAACCTGGCAGGAAGGGAAGCCGAAGGCAGGCGGAGAGCTGCTGCAGGGGTGTCTGTAAGAGCTGTGTTGGCTTCCATCAGGTGGCAGCAGGAGAGACAGTGAGGAACGGCCAGGTATAATCAGTATTTTGGTGATAGGATTAACAGGACTGGCTCATGGATAAGATATAGGAGAGGAGGAAGACAAGTCAAAGATTTTGGGCCTCATTAGCTTGCACAAAAAATCAGATACTGTGTTCTCTCAGTTAAGCTTGGAATGTCTATGAGGCATTAAAGTGGAGATGTTGAATGTATTGTTTCACATAGCAGTCTGAGGAAAATAATTAGGGCTGAACTGTGGGTCATAGCTACTTCATCTGCTAGATTCCAAGGTCAAAATATACCAACCATATCATCTTTCGAGCATCCTCATCACTTTATGATTATCAAAGCTTCATCTGATAATTGTTAGACATGCAACCCTTTCTCGTATCCCAAATGGTTGTAGTAATTAATTGCTAATCTTTGGTTTCCAACCAGATGTTCTATCCTTCCAAGATGATTGACAAACTGTCTCTACCTGCATTGCTTTCCAGGTCTCCTCACATTAGTTAATATCACCTCCAGCCTCTTCATCCCCACTGCTTAAAACCCAGCTCACGATTCACATCCCTCAAGATGTCTCATGAGAAATGCTGCCCTCTCAGGGGATGATTTCATTTTGTTTCCTCATCAAACAGACAGATATGCCCCAACATGTGACCCTGAACCTTTATTTGAATTCAATTGTTTAGAGTATCAAACAGAAGTTCACACAGAAAAAAGGGTTATGAATTACAGTTATGGTTTTTCCTTTTTTTTTTTTTTTTGAGACAGGATCTCACTGTCACTCAGGCTGGCTTGCAGTGTTGCCGACGTAGATCAACGCAGCCTCAAACTCCTGGGCTCAAGCCATCCTCCCACCTCAGCTTCCCGAGTAGCTGGGACTGCAGGCATGCACCTCTATACCCAGCTGCTTCTTAGATTTTTAACAGAGATGAGGTCTCATTATATTGCCCAGGTGTTCTCTAACTCCGAGGATCAAGTGATCCTCCCACCTCAGTTTCCCAAAGCACTGGGATGACAAGTGTGAGCCACTGCTTGTAATCCATACATTACAGTTCTTATTTGATAAGCCAACAGCCTCTTTAAGCTTTGAAAAGAGCTCTAGAAAGCAGATTCAGAATCTGAAGTTCCAGGGTGAGTGGGGATGGCCTGGAGCCTGCTGCTACAAGAAGGAGATGGGGTCCCCGTGGCAGGACTCGTGTCCACAAGTGTGCATTAACTCTGGCAGAGCAGGAGCTGCAGCTCGACTTCCCAACACACCTTTCTAATTACCTCATCTCTCGGGGTTCATTTGCATTATTATTATGTGAATCTATATTTCCATCTCCACTGAGGTGGTTGTTTTTCACCTGGGTAGAACAGCCATGGTTTGAAAATGTAACCATCACACAGCATGAAAAAACTGGGGGCACTTTGGGGCAAAAATGAAAGGTGTTAATACGCTAGAGAAAGTCACCTTTGTACATTTTGCATTGATGTTTGTGAGGACCCTTTACCACATGGAAGGGAGAAGGCTAACTTTAGAATGAAGTGAGTAGACAAAACCTTGCTAAAAAAAAGAAATTAGGTAACAATTCTACAATTTAGAAATGACTCAGAGATAGCATTAATAACTAGGTGATGATTTACAAAGTTTAATGAATGTCAGTTTACATGATAAGAAATGAATACAAATCTATCATTCTATCAGTCTACCTACCTATGTATTAAATGGTCAAAACTGGTATTATAAATTTGCTTTCAAATAGAGAAAATTTTCTATCTAGGTTTTAAAAATGAACGATTATACCGTCCCATTAGTGATCAGCCTGCATTGTCAACTCTCAAAGAAAGATTGTTCATTTAAGGATATTTGAGGGCTGCCCATTTATAGTACAGTCAGGCACCAATTTGAAAAAGCAATTGAAGTCAAATATGAAATTTATTTTGTATTTTTATTGAAACCATAAAGAAGAGAATATTCTTACCAGTTGCCTTTTGGATTTATAAACTGCTGCACCGCGTAGCCAAACTGTTCACTTGAAGGACCGGAAAATATTTTTGCTTCTGGGAGACCCACATTGTATGCCAAGCAACAATTTAAAATGCCTGTTAAGAAAATATGAAACAGTACATATTTACAATTCATGAATATAAGTGTGTCATATAATTCTCAAAGGCCACTTGGAAGAAAACTTGCTGGACCTAACAATTATTACTTATCAACCTTTACCAAGTAAAAATAACTACTGCTTTTTAAGTACTTATTTGGAGGTCTGGCACCAAGCTAAATACTTTATATGCATGATTCATTATCTTATCAATCTTCCTGGCAACCCTAGGAGATAGTTACTAACATTATCTTTGTTTGGCAGAGAATTTTGAGGTTCCAGGGGATAAGTGTATCTCACAGCTGGAAAGAGGTAAGGATAAAGGCAAAATTTGAACACAAGACTTAAAGCCATTAAATTACCTCTAAGTATTCTCAAGTAATTTGAGTTCTATTTGTCTTTCCCAAACCACAAGACTCTAAGCCACCCAAGAGCAGGGTCTGAAGGGTATCATCTATTTCTTCTGAATCACCGTGAATATCTTGACCTGGACTCTGTATGAAGCATCTGTTGAAAAGGCATTGATAACTACATCAGAGGAAACAGAAAATCACAGCTCCTTGAAAATTGTACCATTTTCTTTCGGAAGGGATTATTATCATTTTTGAGGATGAAAATGTAAGGATCGATGTCATATCTTTTTTATTCCAGTGGGAACTGTCAAAAGTGGTTTTGTTTTTGATGCTTCTTGCTGAATGATTGAGAAATGCTAATGAATTCAAAAAACAGAACATAGACCAAGGCAGATAATGCCTTGATAGACTCTTTTTTTTGAAAGCTCTTATTTCTGATGGAATGGGAATGAAGGAGAGGAATAAGGCTAATCACGATTTTCTGTCTGGCACTGACAGCATTCATGCTGCTAGCTCTTCATCCTACAGAAAGAAGGTTGTGTAGATATTAATGCTCTCTCTGGAGATGAGAATATGCTTCATGTTGCTTAAGATCAATATTTACCTTTTCAGACACTGAAGACAGAATGGACTCTTTAAAACTGACATCATTTGAACCCAGGAAGTGGAGGTTGCAGTGAATCAAGATCAAGCCACTACACTCCAGCCTGGGCAACAGAGGGTAACTCTATCTCAAAAAAGAAAAAAATCAGGATAAAAAAGGAAGAAAGCAAATTACTTCTCTTACCCTAGACTAGCAGTACTATAAGCATGAAGTATTTTATTTCAACCTTATTTGCAGTGTCTAATCTTATTGTCACATAAATATGTCATTTATAATATAAAAAGGGAAACTCTGGCCCATTGGGTTGGATTTGACTCTGACTTTCATTTGCTAGGGATGTCCTAACAACTGGATCCCTGCATTTATGCCTATAGACTTAAAAATGCAATGGTTACAAACATCTTTAGTCTCAGTAACTCAAATGGTCACATAATAACACTTCCAAGTCCATGGAATTCTATGTTTGTAATAAGTCTTTTGTATAAACTTGTTCATAACTGTATGATAACTTGTGATGTTTTCTCCATGATTCTACAGCTTTCCTCCCTCTATTCAAAACTGTCCATAGTACGAAACTAATGAATTTATATACACAGTTAATAAACAGATTTTATTTTCCTATTTATTTTTTGTTCACTCAGTAAACTTTTTGAGTATTTATGATGTGGTAAACTCTGTTCTTAGTGCAGGAATGATAATTACATCAATCCTCTCTTATCCTCAGGGGATGTGTTCTAAGACTCTGCCCCAAAGTAGATGCCTAAAACCATAGATAATACCAAACTGTATATGGTATATACTGGTTTTTCCTATATATACATACCTACAATAACATTGAACTTACAAAATTAGACACAATAAGAGATTAAAAACAATAACTAATAATAAAATAGAACAATTATAACGATATGCCAGCATTACTACTCTTGCACTTTGGGACCATTAGGAAGTAAAATAAGGGTGACTTGGCTGGGCGCGGCGGCTCACGCCTGTAATCCCAGCACTTTGGGGGGCCGAGGCGGGTGGATCTCACCTGAGGTCAGGAGTTCAAGACCAGCCTGGCCAACATGGTGAAACCCCAACTCTACTAAAAATACAAAAATTAGCTGAGCATGGCGGCACATGCCTGTAATCCCAGCTACTTGGGAGGGTGAGGCAGGAGAATCGCCTGAACCCGATATGTCGAGGTTGCAGTAAGTTGAGATCGTGCCACTGCATTCCAACCTGTACCACAGAGCAAGACTCCATCTCAAAACAAACAAACAAACAAACAAATAAAAGGGTGACTGAGACACAAGCCCTGCAACACCATGACTGTTGATCTGATAACCAAGATGGCTCCTACATGACTAATGGGCTGGAGACATGGACAGAATGCCGGACAAAGGGATGATTGACATTCCGGGCAGGATGGAGTGAGATTTTGTCACACTACTCAGAAAGATACAGAATTTTAAACTTAGGACTTGTTTATTTTTGGAATTCTCCATTTAATATATTTAGGCCGCAGGTGACCATGGGTAACTAATTTATATATTTTGCTCAAGATAAAAAATTAATGAGGTTGCTTATTGTATATGAATTACTTCTTTTATCCTTTGTGGTTTAATAAATCATTGAATAATTTTTTAAATGGTTTGATAAATCATTGAATCATCTTAAATGATTCAACTTATTTTAAAATTAATTTATAAGGTACCCTTATTTTCATTTAAAAAACAAAATGTTTTATTTATTTATTTATAGACAGAGTCTCTCTCTGTCACCAAGGCTGGCGTGCAGTGGTGTGATTGATCTCAGCTCACTGCAACCTCTGCCTCCTGGGTTCCAGCGATTCTCCTATCTCAGAGTAGCTGGGATTACAGGCATGCACCATCATCCCCTGCTAATTTTTGTATTTTTAGTAAAGACGAGGTTTCACCATATTAGTCATGCTGATCTCAAAGTCCTGACCTCAGGTGATCCACCTGCCTTGGCCTCCCAAACGTGCTGGAATTTACAGGCATGAGTCATCACGCCCAGCCTAAAAAACAAAATGTTTTTAAGGGCATTTCACTAATTTTAGATATGTCCTCTTCAAGAATAAATGTAATTTCTACAAATATTTTTACATCTTTTCTGGAATCCTCTTTGTGTTATTCAAAAACTATATCAAGACGGGAGCCAAGTGGCTGACTGGAGGCAGCCGGGAGAAACCTCTGCCGCTGAGAGACCAGGGCATTGGGAAGGCTGGCACACACTCTGAACAGGTCTTTGCAGGGAAGGCACTGAGAATGGAAGAGGGAGGACGCAGATGCTGGGCTGAAAGGGAGAAAGCTAGGAACTCTTCCCGGGGCTGCCCAGCACCAGGACTCCTTCCTGGCCCCCAGCAGCTTCAGGGGAGAGTTGAACAGGTGAGGAGTGGCCTGCTCCTGCCATGGACCTCTGGCACCTAGCAACAGAACTCGCGACCTGCAGGGACACCTGAGCTGATACAAAGAGAGCTGCTTAGAGAGGTGGCAGAGGCAGGATTCCAGCCAGTGTGGAGCACAGAGGGTTTGACAACAGCAGAACATGACCAAGGACGTCCATCCTTCAAGGCTTGCCACACTCCTATAGGAGACTTTAGCCTTAGGGTAACTGCTGGACCTGGACAGAGCAGGGCAGTCTCGCCTGCGGGATGCGGCCAGTCCAATCTGAGCATCTCCTGTCTGCTGGCCTCTCTGGAGCTCCAGCCTGACCATGGTGGCTTCCAGAGTAGCTTCAGATGCCCAACCAGAGTGCTTCCTAGGGCACCTCATCAAAGCTCCTGCACTGGCAGACCATGCCTGGCCATCAGAGGGCTCCAGCAGAACAGCCCCTGCCGATGTACAACAGTTTACCTGCAGCCTCCCTTGACTGCAGCCTCTTCCCACCACTTTGCCAGCACACACTTGTGCACACCCCACACCCCTCCACATCCCCCCAACGCTGCTTTGCTGGCCTACACATGCCAGAAAATCTTGTCTCCCCTGCCATGCCAGTGCATGCTCACCCTACCATATCCCCGGTTGATATGTGGACACCCTCCTATGCTGGCATGAATGCACACAGAAATACTGGCAATCTCATCCTCACTGGAATGTTACCCCTGCAGTGCTGCTACCATGCACCACCAGCGGGAGCTCATGTAGGAATGCTGCTGCCTTGCTCCTTCGGCGGCCCTAACCCAGCTGATGCATGTGCACCGGGCCATGCTGAGACAGCTGCTGTCATACAACAGTGAGCATTGGATCCTGCTGCCACCACCCCAATGAAGAACTTTGGCTAGCACTACCTATCAGAGTGTTGTGGACAACAGACTGTGAACGCTTTGGCCTCTCCAGTGAGCAGATTCCTAAACTTGAGGGACCAGAGAACAAACCCAGGGGCCTAGCACCAGTTCCTCAGAGTTAGAGTACGCAGCCCAGGAGGGCAGGACTTAGCCTTGGTCCTCTATAATCACAGAGACAATGCCACTCAACTGACCCACCTTACACCACAATCAAACCCTCCAAGGGCATCAAAGAAGATAAAAGCAAAAAAACAACACATCCAAAAAGTAGCAATTTCAAAGACTGAAGGAACATCAGCCCACACAGGTGACAAAGAAACAGCCAATGAACTCTGACAACTCATAAAGCCAGAATGTCTTCTTACTTCCAAACAACAACACTAGCTCCCCAGAAAAGGTTCTTAACCAGGCTGAAGTGGCTGAAATGGCAGAACTGGAACTCAGAATATGAATAGGAATGAAGAACATTAAGGTTCAGGAGAAAGTCAAACCCAATCCAAGGAATCTCAGGAATACAATGAAATAATACAGGAGCTGAAAGACAAAGTGACTATATCAAGAAAGAAAGAAAGTCATCTGATAGAGCTGAAAAAGTCACTTCAAGAATTTCATAATACAATCATAAGCATTAACTGCAGAATAGACCAAGATGATGAAAAAATTTCAGAGCTCAAAGACCAGTTCTCCGAATTAACTCAGATAAAAATTTAAAAAAAGAATAAAAAAGAATGAACAAAACTTCCAAGAAA